CTCCCGTACCCGTAGCCTCGAGACATTAAGATACGGCTACCGTACCCGTAGCCACTGCCTTTATCGTATTGCATTGAGCTGAGTTCTTTGCTCTCTAAAACAAGACCAATCGCTTGTCAATACCGCGAGAAGGATAGTGAATATTGTGGATGCGAGGCGCCGTGAGGCCTGTAGGAGGGGATGTTTATGAGCCAATATCTCAGCCTAGGAGTACCGTATTGACAAGCGGAATTGGTCTTGTCTTAGAGAGCAAAGAATGTAGCTTAATGTAATATCATACAATTATTCTAGACTCGCAGGCAAAGTAGAATAATATTGCCGTGAAATAGCACTATTTTCCCGTTTTTCCGTTGTACACTCTAGGTATTAATTATTAGCTCTTGATTGTATCAGGAGTCTATCAATAGACTATATCTATTGATAGACTCCTGATTGTATCTATGCTGAGCAACAGCGTTATGCAGTATTACTATTAGGCCTACTGGTCTAGTACTATTAATATTAGTTAGGTACGGTGATAGGCGTTGACAGTCAGATATGCGGTAGCCGTTAACTTACTACAACTACGAGTTTCCTCTGACCAAAACCTAACTCTAGTACTATAGCCCTTCACTCCGCCGCAGTTATTACGTTATTGTTTTTAGGATTAGGATTGAATAAAAACAAACGAGATTGCACGGCTAAATTTGGAAATCCAACGTTTGCTAGCCCTAATCAACTTGTGACTTAGTTATTATGTTGAATTCAACAAACTAGAGCTCAGGATCTACCTCAAACATTCCCCTACCACCATACGTAATAAGTTTTACCATACACGTTCACAAGTTTATTTTAAACAAAAATACTGTTTGTACCTGCATCGCCGTCCATCGGTAACATAAAAAACTCTATGATAACTTATAATATATAACTCATAAATTCTAGGTAGATTAAGTTCAGTGAACGTTGGACAATTGGATTCCGATATTATAGCCGTGTACGCTCTAGGTTTTACTGACTCATGTGTAACTGGGTTATGTAAAACCCTGCCATATATGATATTACTGCTTAAGTAAGAGCTCGACTCTGAGAAACAGTAAGTCATTATTCATAGGATATAGACAATAAGCTAATCTTACATCTCAAAAAGTGGGCATGGAAAACTGCACAAACAACTACTAAGTAAACGTCAAATTTGACTATGTGGTCACAGTGCTTACTTAGCACTTGGTTGGGTGTCCTGGGTGAGCGTCTCCTGGCGTGGAGGGTGGGTTGAGTTCTAGCGAGTATATTCAATTTTGTACAAACTATTTTCACACCCGACAGTGCCAGATCTTGTATCCGCCTAGAATGTTTAAGTTATAAATAAAAGTCCATAGCATTTCCTGATGAGAAATTGATGTTATGTCAGTCTATATTTCTATTGATGTTACTAGTTAGAGTTAGTACACTATCCTACGGGCCATAGCCGCGAGTATATATTATCCTATGACGATACCGTGCGTATATTTTTGGTAATTAATTAAACTATTCGTTTTTCAATAAAATCAAAATTTACAGAGACCGTAGCTAAGAGATGTGTTTATAGGTAGCTAGAATTTTTGAAATGTAACTCAAATCCTTCGCGCGATATTAGAGTTAGTACACTATCCTGCGGGCCATAGCCGCGCATATATTAGCCTACGAGCGATATACCGTGCGTATATTTTTGGTAATTAATTAAACTATTCGTGATTTAATAAACTCAATAGCTCAATTCGTTCGCGAGATATGAGAGTTAATACACTTTCATGCCGCCTATAGCGCAATAGCGTATGCGCGCGGGAGGGGGGGGGTTAACAGCTGTATACAATACAGCTGTACAGGGGGGCGCGGTTTGAACATTTATTCATCTGTAATTCACTTCTAGGGAATATCTACATTGGGCACCCCCTCTAATATTTATAGTAATGCCATAGGCTACAACTGCGCCAGGTTTGATGCTTTTGTCAGCTCTGTAACGATCATGAAGCTGTGGGACCTGACTATAAAGTGTTTACAATCACAATTGCATTGAATAACAGAATAACCGAGTTGACGATCAGCGCCGAGCTGCGAATTAGTTTCGCCGGTATCCCATTCTAGAATTCTAGATACATATAGATTATAGACACACGTCTTAGCTATAATGATAATTTCTGTCAATATTGAGTTTATTGACGCGCGATTAGACTAGACTAATGCATACGACGCTATTTTTAAAGCTTTATGATAATTATTATTAAGTGATGGTAAAATAATGTATGATTCATCATTACTTTCTATTCTTTGAAGTATTTATTAATATACTATCACATAAGAAAAAAACCACAAGTAGCTAAGAGTAAGAGTAAGGCTGTTTATATACATTCCAACATCCCAAGGGCGCAGGACATATTGACATAGTTATCACTATTATAGTAACTTTTAATAACAGATACCATATATAATAACTGTTATTATATACAAATATATATATATTGGTTGGAACAAGCGAACTTTATAAATACATACTAACGCGCCAACATCAGTGACACATCCGGGATGGAGTTAGATGGGTACCTCATATCATCACTTGGGCAGTACTTTGTCGGTCGAACATGGTATTTTGCTGACTCAACAAGACAACGGGTCAATCTAGTAGCGGATCAACCTTGTGTACTGCTAGTAGAGTAGTTACTGCTAGTAGAGTAAACATATGGCAATTATACAACGACTTATACAATGTATGTTATGCGGGTATATGTTGTGGTATCTCATCACCGGTAAACTCTGAACACTGATTATGATTTGGTAGCCATATTTCAAGTCATTTATTTCTCATATCACTCCGCCGCCACAGCCTCATCACCTATCCATATAGTACTACCACATCTCCCTCACAACGGTAAGAAATTAGCAATATCATAAACATTACACAAACTACAAATATTACAAAAATTACAAGTAAGCATATGACATATATGCAATTAACCTACAAGCAATTACCAACACAAATCATATATCCGATACATTGTTCCTCTTCCTTCTTTTAACATAACTAAAGGTATATATGCATAGCCGCATGGGTGCTTGCCTTCGTGGGTAATAACCTATTTATATAACATCGATTACATGTATTCACACATATAATACGTAGGCCTACATGTAACAAGTATTCAACCTTAACTACACCAACGTCTATTTAAGTTTACGTCAACATATATTCTCAACGATAACGGGCTGGTTTTTGACTGACACGTCCAGAACGTGTTCGATATACCGTTTATTACCGCGTGCGTGATCTGCACCTTGTCTCCCCTTCAGTCGTATTCCTGTTATCTTGGTCGCCAGGAAAGGCATCTGCGGGATGTCCCTCAAATGACTCTACTCCTAAGCTGGTGCCAATTGGGTGTGAACAAACATACGACCGGCCTGGGGTTCTCACACACTATTATCTGTCTGGAATCCAGGGGGACTATCTAGAAACGAACGTTGTCCATGAGGAGGCGGAGGTCTTGCTCTGTTCCACCGCATCAATAACTCCTCCTCATTCTTCCCACCGTTGCTCCCAGAAGTTCCTGGCCGTTGACACACTGAGCTTGGTTGGAATCGGTTACGGCTGGGAGTCGCGTTCGAACTTGCCGACGCAAACAACATTTCGGCCGGGGAGGGATACGCGTCGACTGAGTGCTCTCAGATCAGTAGAGGCAGCTGCTAAAGCCTCCCCTGCTCCTGTCCTATATCTTACTGTTCGGACCAATTCTCCTCCACCAGACCATTCGACTGGGGTACTGTGAGAAGTAAGTGTGCCTATTCCCCATCTTTGCACATCGCTGAAACGACTGCACCAACAAAAACTTGGCCATGCCGACATCACCTCTGTGGGAGATCCCCAAAGCTGAATATCCAGTATGCATAGCCACACGCGGCCTGTCGTCGAAGCCAACGACTGACAACTGCCAAGTTGAATGAATCCACCATAAAAGGTATTGTACCTGTCCAACCCAAACAGAACCATACCAATTTAAATCAAGGCGTAATGGCAGATCCTATCGAGCCAGAATAGTTCCCTCTCTGTGAGGCAACGCCTGCACTGTTGCATTCCTGACAACTCATCAATGTTACGATGAGTTCCAGTAAACCGACGCGTGCCAGAAGCCCATCTTCTCGATGCTGGATCGCCGCTATGCAGTTCAATGCAAATTCCGTCCCTCATGATTGAGGCACAACACTTGTCTGCCCTTAAAGAAACCCATTTGACCATGCCTAAGTCATCACGAAAACGGCCATAAGGGCGTAAATAGTTGCAGCTCCGAATGTTGCGGGCCAACCAATGGAGTGAATTCTTTCACTTTGAGCACAGGCATCTGGGTGTCTCTTCTGTAAGCTTGCTGAGACCCAAAGATGGAGCAAATCAAGCCCAACGTTCCTCAACTCATCCAGTAAGACCCCTCAACATGGACATCAAGTGGACATCTTCTTGCGCAGGATTAGCAATCTGCTGAGCGATAGAAATATCACCTCTTGTACTTGGCGGTGTTCAATGTTGAATTTAACCCGTGGACTTTACGAAACCTATTGTATCGGGCGGGGCACTCGTGAGTGCTTGCGGCATATGTCACCAAATGGGGTTTGTCAGTCAGCACCTTGAAGTCTCGTTCAAAAAGTATAGTATGAATCATGTAAGCCCCCGAAGACGAGTCCCAGTACTCCACTCTCAATATTGAGTATGAGCTTGAGCAAAGGCGAGACTTTTGTGAGCAATGCCACAGCTTCCATTGCTGAAAATAGACATGCCCCAAACCCTTTTTAATGAGGCGTCTACCTAAGGGACAGGTTCTCAGGATCATAAGACTTCAGCGAGCTTCCTGCGAACGCTTTCCTAGTGGCATACCCTTCCTGGTGTCTCTGCCACAAAAGGGGGGGGGGGGGGGGGGGGGGGAACAACGCTTTTAATCGATCTCGCCAAAAGCGAACCTGATCTCATACTAGGGATGTAGGAGACAAGAATTCATCATGCCCAGAACCTCGGAGACCCCTGCCTGTGGTGTAGGCACCTTGCGTGATGCTTCGACTGCAGGATCATGGACTAATCCAACTTCATAGATCGTTCCGAAGAAAATTGATCAGATTTGCTTCATCACGCATTTGCTGCGTTGAACACAGTCCCTCCTTGCGCTGTCCTCAAACAGTTCCAAGTGCGGTCCAGCTCTCTCTGTACTACCCATCCGACGACAATCATCTGCGATCGCACACACAACCCGGGACTGCCCCTATTATATATCCATTCTTGTTGAAAGACAGCCTGAGCTGAAAGCCCAAGGTAGACGCAGAAACAGTATCTCCAAATGGAGAGCGAAACGTGTCAGTTCATATGCGATCCTCACTAAGATGCAGCGACCAATAGCGCTGACTGGCACCACTGGAAAAACTCCCGTATTACGAAACTCGGGTTAATTCTCCGAGTGTCTGGATCTTGTGGCATCGCTCGAGATTCATTCAAACGCTTTGTCAGCAATACTCCCGAATGGAAATCCATCTTTCTTGATCGCTGTTTGAGGAAGCACCAGTCAGGGAGTGACCTACTGACACTCCTTGTCCTCCCATCTATCGAGCTCTGCCTTGAAGCTTGTAATAATTGCGCACTCGGGACACGATGGCGCGGGCATCACTTCTCAAACAGAAGATGGCCGGTCCTTGAAAAATCACACTATCCTATCGAACGTTGGCGCCACCGTGCCACGAGATTTAACGCTGAAACGCTTGGACCTGGTCAGATGATTCGAGGCGGCTTTCATCCTCGTCACTGATTAGTGACCGACACTGAAGAGCCGTGCTGCCTGTAGGCCATCAACGCAGGTCCACTACCTCAAGCCACAAAGAAACCCTTCGGCCAGTGAGTCTTGTATAGGCACATGAGATCAATGGAAACCGGTGAGGTGATTGCCAAAGGATGATTGGATCCATTTACCAGTAACTGCCACTGTCGTGGTCCACACTAAGCGCCATTGTCCCTTGGGGTACAATCCAGTATGAACGGCAGGGGAATGTGTGCCACCATGCCTCAGTACTACTACTTGGCAAAGGCGATTTTTCCACACCTGGAGACAGCAAGCCAGAACGGAAGCTTCCGAAATTCTCCTGCCGTGGTGTCCTGCCGAAATCAAATAATGGATCATGAACACTTTGGAGAAGCCCATCCTCTGCCGTGGTCCGCAAGAACTGCCCTCTTCACAGGCATGGCATCCACTCTCTCTGTCTCGATCTACGCCTCCAGGAGGGACAGGAACATCCGACTTGATCTGCAGCACGGCCCAATGCCCCTGTCTTCCACAGTGCGCAGTATCACGATATGCAGGGCACGTCTCGGAGACGTGACAGTCCACAGAAACGCATTCTTGCCAATCATCTTGTCCCGTCGCCCTCCCTTTTGGCCCCGCGGGTTCCTGCGCATTGCGTCGACATTCGACCTGGTGCGAGTCTGACAAACACTGTTTCCCAATCACAATAGCTTCAATGCCTGCCTAGCTAACCACATCGTAAGGCAAGCCCCGCCGTTCTGCAACAAACTCGCGCGGGCATCCATCATAATGGTGTGCGATGCAACTCACAGTTTTACTATGCGTCAATGAGCCCACTTTAAAATATCACACTGCGGCTTGCCTGCAAACGCGCTTACAAATCAGCGATGTCCTTTCAGGGTGGGCCTGACTCATAACTAAGGCGAGCGTTCGAAATTGATGGAACTCTCACTGCTTGTCAAAGTAGTCAAATCAATTTCCGATAAGTCCCTTGGCGTGCACTCGAACCGATGCTTGAGGCTCGCAAACCCCTCGGCCCTAGACAATCGTGAATCTCTGCTTTTTACGCCATTCGTAATGCTAGTCCTTTAGACACAGCCCATACGCTGTCTAAAAGAGAGAACCTGCTTGCCAGTCGGCAATCTAACCAACTCATTCCGGTTGCCGCCCTGTTAAACGACATCACCGATATCTCAACTCAAGTCAAACAAATGCCTTTCTAAGACTGAAAAATATCCAAACGACAAACACAAAACCAAAGCATCGTCCAGTAGTGTTACCGCGCCGCACCTACTCAAGAATACCGATTGCCATAATGCCTGTGAGATACCAACACAGTACGCTGCAAGCTATCACCATGCAGGTACATTACAATTCCATTCAAGAATCGCGAACACCATTAAAATCATCCATCTATACCGTGTGCATAAACACTCATGGACCGACAGCATATTATCAAAACAACAACACTTCGCTTGATTCGCTCTATATCCCGTGGAGTCGATTTATAGACCCTGCCATTCGCAGGATTGATACAATCTTCAGCGTGCTGCTTGCATATTAACAACGCTAACACACATACTAAGCCGGACCGCTCGTACTGCTATGGATTCGAGCACAAGTACAGGCATACGTATTAACAATACCGTCTTCTTTAAACTTCTTATGTACTATATCGTTGGCTGCGCTAGAACTCGTTTTCTCCCCCCCTCACATCCTGAATATGATGACACTGCATTTACAGATACCGCTAAGAGCGTCGCGTTTGTCCTAGCAAGCGGGGCGAATGACGCACGGCCTTTTCTTCATCACTCTGGCAGCTTAAACTCGCAGCCGTGTGCGCGTCGGCTAAGCCATGAAGCACCGCACTGCAGTGTCTTAACAATCACAGCCGTGGTCTCTTCACCAACATGCAATTGGATGTTTCGCCCCTGTCCTCCTTAGCGGCACAGCGCGCGTTTCCGCGCCTTTATTGACCTTAACGATCCGTGGAAGTAGCGTAGCAGGCTTAACACTGTATCTGATGACTGTAACTCGTCTACGTCTTATTTATGTCTCTCGAGCCTGCACACACCTGATATTACATCCGTCCATTCCATCACGGACCGCAAAATCCCCACGACCAAATAAATGATGAACTTGACTGTACAGTGACGCTATACCAAACCGCTGCCACCATTCATGGGAAGCAGGGGGGGTCGTGAAAGGGTCGTAAGCGACCCCCCAAAATGTTAAAAGTCGACATTTCCAAAGACATTTGTTCGAGGGCTTTTTACAATGACATAAATGATAAGACAGTACCAGCAATGAGTCCAAAGACATTGCCAAATTGCGACGTAAATCATCCAAATCCAGCAATTCTGAAAAACGAGCTTTTAAGACAAAATTTTGTTTCATAAAAAGAGAGACAAGACTGACAAAGACAAAGACAAGACAAGAACAAGAAAAAAGTCCAAAACTCTGTCCAAACTGAAAATCAGAAAACGTTTTTAAACACGATATTTTTTAAACACAATTGGTTTAATTAAATTGTCCAGGCGGTACAGGGGGGGCAGGTCCAGGGGTCCGGACCCCCCTCCCGCAG